ACTGTGAACATCCCCTGAGTGTACAAATTCTATAACTTTGACCCAGGATTGTGTAAAAATCCAAAATCTGCAAGAAATATGAGTGGGCATTTATATGTGTACATGTATAATTGTTCTAATAAAAAATGTTTCTAATATGTGTACATCCTTGGGAGGGTATGTATGTACACTTATATAAAAGTATGTGTGTGTAATTATGAATACTGCACAAATGTTTTAAAATGTTTTCAGTAGATAGCTTAAAATATCTAGGTTTTAACTAATAGTTTTAAAAATGTTTTTATATTTATACATTTCAATAACTTAGTTACCTCTCTTGACGTTTACATCATAAAACTTAACAATCATACAATACCTAATCTTAGCGTTTTTCACTTTACAATAAAAATTTAATTTTCAGATGAACACAACAATTTTGTCTTAGAAAAATGATGAATACAATAATATATTTGGTCTTAGAAAAAACAACACCTTGATGATGACATTGTACTAATGTCGAAAGTACTCGAAATAAAATGAATATGCACCAACATAGTAATTTTCTTTCTTCTTTTACAAGGATACTAAGAAACTTGTATGAATCAATAATATATCAATAATAAGCATATCAATAACAAACATATCCGTCAAATGTTCAAAATAGTTGCTTCTGTTATTGACCTGTAAAACATTTATTTTATTTTTATTAAAAAATAAAAATGCTAATAAATGTATTATAATAAAAATTATGAAAATAAAAATTTTAAAAATGATTTTAATGAATTAAATGAATTCCAGTATTAAATGAATCCTAGGAACACTATTATTAAACTGATATAATACGTAATGTATACCTACATTTGCAGCCCCCTAGATGAAATAGTGTAAATATCAAATTGCAATATATGGTAAATAGGTACATGTTGTGCAAATGTAGGTATACAGTAATGAAAAAAAAACGAAACGTGAGCACAAAACGAGTTGTACTAATTATAGAAACAAATCAATATTAAACATATCAATAATAAAAACATCAATAATAAACACATGAATCCCTCAAATGCCCCAATCATCTATACCTGCAAAACATATATTATTATTATTTATTAAAAAAAAAAATTATAATAGTATTATGATAAAAATTATGAAAATAAAAATATTAAAAATGATTTTAATGTATTATATGAATTCTAGTATTAAATTAGTATTAATCCTAGAAGCACTATTATAATATTAGTAATGCTGGTATAACACTTATTGTATACCTACTTTAGCAGCCTCCTGTAAGGGGTGGGGGGTGCAGAAAGAGAGGGTTTTCTTGTATATATGCAAATATGTTTGTGTAAATCGGGTTTTACATTTGTACGTGAGAATTATTTAAATATGTACGTAGTTTTATAGTCATGCATATAAATATTTTTTTCTTTACTCCCCGCTTAATTTCTTTATTTCTTTCTTTCTCTCTCCAACCTCTTTCTATTTCCCGCCCTCTCTCCTTCCCACTTTTCCTCTCTCTCTCTCTCTCTCTCTCTCTCTCTCTCTCTCTCTCTCTCTCTCTCTCTCTCTCTCTCTTTCGTATATGTGTGTATGTACTTGTATTTATTTGTAATTTTCATGTAAAAATAAGCCTCTCAATTCAGACGTGAAAATCATAAAATAACTTCGTTTTCTTCCACACCTGTCTCAGCGTTATTTGTTTTCTCCTTCCAATTTCTCGTAGCAAGTAATGAAACATTCCTGTTGGCAATTTAAAAAGCATTTTTAGCTCCTTTCCTACTTCTATAAATCATGATGAATATACATTTTAAGAAAAAAAAAAAAAAGAAAGAAAAAATCTGGGAATAGGATGGATTTTTTTTTCTTGCTTTCTTTGCTGTCCATTAAACATTTTGAAAATATAAAAGAAAGAAAATAAAAACAAATATGAATTCTATTGGTTAAAATCCAAAAGCTGCAAGAAATATTCAACAAATTTCAAATCGACGTTTAAAATCGACAATTGGAAGTGCCCATAAAAAAAAACAGTTAAATTACAAAAAGTGCTTATTCATCATTTTTTTTTTTTTTTGCTGTTAATCTTTGAAGTCATATATTTATGAGTTCTGGCGCCACGTCTTGAGTAATGGTTAACAAGCTGATCTTGTTGGTTATTACTATCGGTTTCTGAGTTCGATCCTCACAAAGTACTTTCTATTTCTGTCCTTGTGCTAAATCTAGACTAATCTTCACGAATAACCATAAATGATGATTTTCTAAGTGTAGCTTAGATGTGGCACAAGGTCGAAATGTGGAGCATCCTGTGAGGATCGAACTCACTACTCAGTCATATTTTATCTAAAGAGACAAACTTGGTAACAAAATAATTATATATATACAAACGTTATCAGCATAAAATACAGAATAGGCGAAATGAGTTCGAATTCTGACTGGGGCTATTTTTTTGTATTTTGAACTTTATGGAAGGAAGGAATCCAATTTATTCCGCGCATAGTTGGCAAATTGAAAGTTGCATATTAATATGGTAGAATTTCTCTATAAATATAACACAGTTAAAAATTATGGATTTGACAGACTTAGAGGATGTTCACATTCGGCTTTTTTTATTTAGCTCATTCGCTGAAAAAAGGGCTGGTGTTATTGAAACAATGCTCGATGTTATATGATAGAGTTAAAAAGTATATATATATTAATAAATATAGGTATTATTCCACCCCATTGCGTTTGGCATGAAACTCCGTGTCGTGCAATATATACGAGGGTCATTCAATAAATAAGGTGAATTTTTCGGTATAAGGACTTCTAATACAGATAGAAGCTTACTTTTTTTGTTTTACTTCTTTTTCACATGGATTTAATTTCTTTTGCAGATTAAAAAAAAAAAAAAAACTTTGAGAGCTTTGGCGATTAACAAAGATGGCCGACCAAGAAGCATTCGGTCAGTAAACTAATAACAGTTAAGGCGCAAAACATTTTTGTTTAATAACTAAATATTCTGAATTTAACCTCAAGCAAGGCAGTAAAGCTAATACGATACAGGGGTTTAATGAGTGCGGACGAATAAGAAAATCATTATTAAGGAGCGAGAACAATAAAAGAATAGGAATCAAGAAGACACTAGATAACGTTTGACATTGCATTTAAATTTATGAATATCAAAGTTGACTGGAAAACAAGAAGCCAGGAGAGAGTTCCTCAAGCAATACGTGCGAGAGACGAAACTGCTAGCATAGAATTTAGGTTTACATCTAGCCAATTCAACTGTAAATTGATGAGACCTTATTGCCAATCAAGTACTGCGCTTAAATTCATAAGGTCTAGGTACCATAGTGAAGAGTTCATCAGAACGATTACCATGAAAGTATTTATAGAAAAGACACAGGGAAGCTACATTACGACGGTTGGAAAGTGACTGAAGCCGAGATGCCAGGTCAGGAACAATAACATTGCAGTTTCTTCTTTGGATCTTATGAAGAATCTCTAAATATATAGCAGGAGCACCAGAAATAAAAATGTTTTGCGCCTTATATGTTATAAGTTATTTTTACAGCAAAACAAAAACAAATCAATATGAACATCCCCTGAGTGTACAAACTCCATAACTTTGACCAGGGATTGTGTAAAGCGGGAAAAGTGATTTCGTCTGACGTGGCATATTTCTGTCTTTTCTTCAAATATTTTCATGGCAACTGCTCTGACGAAGTTTTTTACCCTGGTAGCCCCGAATACAAGAATTTGAGCGTGCTACGAGATTGGCATCTATCTCGCACCATTTTACTGTTGAAATAGCTAAATGCAACCGCCATTTCTACTCCAACAGTTGCTTTTCTCGCACTTCCCGACTGTAGAAGTCCCTTCCATTTCCTTGCTTCCCTGACAACTTTAATCTTCAAAAAATTTAAATGTAACTTCAATCGCCATCTTTTGTCTTCTTAAACACAGTTCATCTTTTGTTCTTTCCACAATCCTTTCCATTCTCAGTCATCTCTTTCCCTTTTACTCCCTGTAAACCTTATTGGCATTGCAGCCTTGCTTGGGGTAAAATGATTAAAAGGAACACAAACGGAATGGCGACGCTTTTCCACTGTGAACACGGCATAGCTGTTCTTGCTTGTGAAGATCCGAGCTGGTGAGATTTAATTGAATTTTGTAAGTTGTTGGGTGCTCAGAAGTCGTACGAGGATTTATTATTGGTGGACGCAATCATAAAAGAATCCGCTCTGACCAGCTTTTTTCCCTGGTAGCCTGACTACAAGAATTTAAGCATGCTACTCGATTGGCATCTAGGTCCCACTCTATTACTGTTGAAATAGCTAAATGCAACTGCTACTTCTACTACAACAGTTATTTTTCACGCACTTCCCACCTGTGGAACTCCCTTCCGTCTACTTGCTTCGTTTATAACTAGAATCTTCAAAAATTTAAATGCTACGTCAATCGCCATCTTCTGTCTTCTTGAATCCCGTTCACCTTTTGTCCTTTCCTCAATCCTCACTATTCTCAGTCTCCTCCTTTATTTTAACTCCCTTTAACCCCTTGCGTACTAGTGGCATTCCTGCCTTGCTGAGAGTGAACTGATTAAAAGAATAAATAACTAAAATCTCATAAAATGATCAGCGTCTTCTATTCACTGATTTACGTTATATTTTGATTTCAATGGTATCTACATTTTTCTGTTCTTGGCCTTCACACATTAACGGATGTCACCTCGTATCATTCAAAAAAAAAAGAACAATAAATCAAACAAATACTGTCCATCCTGGATATGTGTTGAAACTTGACTAATGCATGGAATAATAATGCAACACAAAATGTACTTAGAACAAAATGTATTGAAACAAGAAAGTGTACACAATATTTACATATAGTCTTTTGTATATTCCTGGTAAGACCGTTCCTGGAGAATGTGTTGACTGAGTCGCAGTCGGGCAGAGTCTCTGGTTGAATCTCTTGATTCCTCCCTCTCTTCCCGGTACCAACCATATTTATATGGTCGGTACTCCACTATGCAAATTAGGTGGATCCTACCACAACAGATAGATAGATAGATAGATAGATAGATAGATAGATAGATAGATAGATATAAAGGTACTATAGATAGATAGATAGATAGATAGATATAAAGGTACTGTAGATAGATAGATAGATAGATAGATAGATAGATAGATAGATAGATAGATAGATATAAAGGTACTGTAGATAGATAGATAGATAGTGTTGAAACTTGACTAATGCATGGAATAATAATGCAACACAAAATGTACTTAGAACAAAATGTATTGAAACAAGAAAGTGTACACAATATTTACATATAGTCTTTTGTATATTCCTGGTAAGACCGTTCCTGGAGAATGTGTTGACTGAGTCGCAGTCGGGCAGAGTCTCTGGTTGAATCTCTTGATTCCTCCCTTTCTTCCCGGTACCAACCATATTTATATGGTCGGTACTCCACTATGCAAATTAGGTGGATCCTACCACAACAATATGTTAAATGATTCTGTAATAAAATCACTGTGCCGATGAATAACAAAAGATTTGAATTGTAGTACAGTCCACCTAGACCTCGCCCGAAACGTGGACCTGACATTTTCGTCGGCGATGTCCGAGAGTCTGCTCGAACACCACACGATGGTGGTTGTTTATGTAACTATCTCCGTCAGTTTGTTAGTTCCGACGCTTGCAAAACCGGATGCAGCTGTGAGGTCAAGCAAGTGTGCATTCAGCGACCGGAAGTAAACTCAGGCCAACCCTGCAACTTGATTCCCTTGATCTGGTGTGAATTTTGAATTTATTTTATATGTGTATAAAACATGACGATTTTGTAAATACGGGCATCCATACAAGACATATTTATTAGTAATTTTCTTACCTTTCCTTCCTATAAAGTCAAAATACCTAAAATTCAACAATATATTAGCACAGAATATTTTTTTAAATTTTTTAATATTACTGGGTAGTTACAATTATATGAAACTGTATTCGTCGAGTAATTTTTACAGTTATGTATCCATTATTTAAGTTTACCTAGCATCAGGTTGTCGATAAATCTGTCAACGCCCCATAAAAACAATCACCTCCGTGTTAAAAATGCTTTTCTGCGATGCTAAACTAATTAAGTAATATTTGTTTTTTAATTCAGATTAATTAAACTTTAAATCAGCTAATTTTTTCTCAAATGAGGTTTAAGAAATTCTCACTATATGTGAATTCATTTGGGTCGACAGATTTGCCAATATGGACGATTTTACTGATAATTAGAAAAAAGTCACTCCAATCGATGTAAGTTCGGTTTCGAATAGAGCAAAGTATTATTGGAAATATTAAATTTAACATATTAACTTGAAATCAAAACAAAAATAAATACTCAAGGAAAATTTTACTTTTTTATAAAATGAATTTTAAACCTTAGGTATTGGTTATTTGTCACAAATACATACATACATACATATATATATATATATATATATATATAGATAGATAGATAGATAGATAGATAGATAGATAGATAGATAGATATATAGATAGATAGATATTGATAATATTAGTGGTAAATATACACATACATATGCAAAATATATAAAATATATACATACATACACATACATATATATTTGTATAAAAAAAAATTCAAGTAGAATCCAGGTAGAACTCAATGTCCAGGACAGAGTAAGAATATAATAAAAGGCTAAAACACTAATATTCCATGGTCATAATATATTCTATTAGAATCGTAAATACGATCCAATTCATCAGTTGTAGGTCTGGTGAATTGGATCGTATTTACGATTCCAATAGAATAAATTATGACCATGGAATATTAATCTTTTAATATATATATATATATATATATATATATATATATATATATATATATATATATATATATATATATATATACGTGTGTATGTGTACAGAGAAAAGAGAGAGAGAGAGAGATTTGCATGTAATATCTTTAATATCCACATAACGTTCAAATCGAAAATTTCATGAAAATTGACGCTACTGCCCTCCATCTTGAAGATCGTCGCTATACAATCTTTCCACTAGAAACACTAAAGGATTATTCTCAAAATCTTGCTGCCGTTCCTAGGTCCAATACATTTTTATAGCAAAATGACAAGCAATACATTAAATAAAATATAAAAGTACATTTTTATAGTAAAATGACCAACAATACATTTTATAATCTACAAACTATATATCTAAAAAAACATACGTTTATTCTGAAAGTATAAAATTATGTACAAAATATTTAGATTTCAGCATAAAAACCCATACATGTTGATATACCATTAAACAAAAACAACCCACCATTAAAAAAAATCTTACGTTTTACATCAGGTGGACATCGTGGAATATATTTGTCAATTGTTAATTCCACTTAGAACCTCAGTAAATAAAATAGTCCCCTGGCTGTTCATCATACCGCTAAGTTTTATTCGACAAATGCTGTACCTATTGACTAACTCACTAAATGTGAAACCATACACAAATCTATGTAGAAAAGCGTCCTGGAGATAATTTATATTTTTAAATTGCGAAGTTATCAACTGAAGCAATTTCCATTTAATGTTTTACTCTTTTATTCTAAGTGGTCAAGTTTTATTTTTCAAACACTTTAGCTACATTAGAAGATTAATTTTTCTCACAAAGAAACTCGTATCTACAATTTTTTTTTTTAAATTACTTTTATTGGTTTTATGTTTGTGTACGTGCGTGATAGATATGAAAAACTATGACAGACAGTGATAAAAACTGGGATAGATAGATAGATAGATAGATAGATAGATAGATAGATAGATAGATAGATAGATAGTGATATGAGCTGAGATAGATAGATAGACAGATAGATAGTGATATGAGCTGAGATAGATAGATAGACAGATAGACAGTGATATAAGCTAAGATAGATAGGTAGATAGTGGCATGAGCTGAGATAGATAGATAGTGACATGAGCTGAGATAGATAGATAGATAGATAGATAGATAGATAGATAGATAGATAGATAGTGATATGAGCTGAGATAGATAGATAGATAGATAGATAGATAGATAGATAGATAGATAGATAGATAGATAGTGATATGAGCTGAGATAGATAGATAGCGACATGAGCTGAAATAGATAGATAGATAGATAGATAGATAGATAGTGATATGAGCTGAGATAGATAGATAGTGATATGAGCTGAGATAGATAGATAGATAGATAGATAGATAGATAGATAGATAGATAGATTGGAATAACAATGAGAATTTAGTCTCCATATGGAAAATTTACGCTTTTTGCATTAATCATCTCCTCTTCACTTTCTGATCTGATTGTGTTTGCGTGTTTTGTTTCTTTTTCTTTTCTTTTTTTTACTATCTTGGTTTCTCCCGCTTCCAACTGACCAACACCTCACTGCTTTGTTTTTCATTTATATGTCGCGTACCTTCAATAGGTGATCGATCATGACTCTCCACAACATACAATCAGGAAGAGGACAATATGACTGAATCGCTGGTATACCAAAGGTTACTTTTTACAATGATTTTCACCCTGTACAAGACGCGTTAGTCACTCGAGCTAGAATATTACACAGGAGGAATAGTTTATGGGGATTTGCTGAAAAAAATAACGGGCAGCCCTAGTCTTGAACAGGTTAATATTGTAGTGATTGGGGATGAACCACTTATCAGCCGGTTTCACCAAGAAGTGGTCCATGAGAAAAAGCTGCTCGAATGGAACTTACATCTCAACAATGGAATATGAGTTAAATGAGGCTGATTCGCTACAATGTGCATAGCACGGCCGGGAAGGTTATGACTAGTAGAACTAAGGAGTGAAGATCCTCTGAACATTTTCCACGGAAATAGCGATGGAGCAACGAGAGGCTTGCGACGTCTTGCCTGTGAGAATGAGGTTGTAGTGCGCAAAATAATTCATCACCCACAACGGCGTGAGTACGCTTTTGGACTCTCTCCTGGCTGAGAGGTGAAGGCTAGCTAACGCTTGCCTATATAGACTGTGTAACAGCAAAATTGTCCAAATCGTGTAACAGCATAATTGTCCATCTTACAAAATGTTTAATATCTAAAAAACCACTATAATAATTGAGTCTCTTTTTCCAAGGTTTCCAGATAAGACGTTTAGCTATCTTGTCACTGTCCTGGGTAAGACGATAAACTACATCCAACAACAAGGCCGCTGATCAGGAGGTTTTGAGGAAGCGTGGAACCACCTCTTAATTGCTGGTGATCCTAGATCCACCCTGATCCGGGGTGGTAGCACCTGTTAGGGTCCCAGCTATGGGCAAATAGTGAACTCCCAGTTTTTACCATCATATATCCACGCCCTGTGTATGGCGACAAACTACATCCGCGTCCTGTGTATGACGATAAACTACATCCGCGTCCTGTGTATGACGATAAACTACATCCGCGTCCTGTGAATGGCGATAAACTACATCCACGTCCTGTGTATGACGATAAATTACATCCGCGTCCTGTGTATGACGATAAACTACATCCGCGTCCTGAGTATGACGATAAACTATGTTCAAAAATAATGTTGCCAGCTATACGTTTTTGAAAAAAATAATGTTGCCAGCTATACGATTACTAGTATATATATATATATATATATATATATATATAAAACTAAATTTGGCATTAAATGACCTACAGTGGTTGATATGCCATAAAACCCAATGAACCAACGAACCAACCATCTTGACACATTTTTTTCGTAAGAATCACTGAAAGATCCTTTGAGTTATTCAGTTTGAAAGGGAACAGGTTAAAATCGTTTTGTGTCAGCCTCTCTATGTCTTTCTAACTGAGCAATGGTGAGAGGAAAAAGATCATTCAGGCCTTCAGTAATGGTACCAACATTCATAATCTGGCTTCCATCTTCAAAGTCCGTCCAAGAACCATCAAGAGAACGGTGAATAAGTTTAAAATAAAAGAAAAAGTAGAGAGGAAACCTGGATCAAGAGGTCACAAGAGAAAGAGGTATTATCATTTCAACTTACAGTTAAATACATTCTTATTGTCCAAAGTGGATCCCAATAGGTTTATGAACACCTCGAAGAATTCCAGTAAGATATCTTTAATCATTTCTAAGATACAGCAGTTCAGTGCTTAATCTAACAATTGGACAATTTTGCTGTTACACGATGTGGACAATTTTGCCGTTACGCCCGGTATGTCGACAGTACACCATTTTTGGATTGGTCTGATTCGGAAATGTAGATGATAGCAGGAGGGGTTAAGTACTTACTGGAGAGTTACAGGAAACCGAGCATTCGTCCAGTATATTTAGCGATGGATCGTATGTACGAGTTCCATTTGATGTCTGGATTAAGTTTGAGTTCAAAGCACGGTGCCTACTTGAAAAATCATCCGTTCATCATCAGTGATGATAGTTCTGAGTCCGATTTGCGAACACCAAAAGACAGGAAATTGTGGAGACCCATGTAGGCCAAGTCATGAAAGCCATTGTATATAAGTGAAGAAAATTGTAATATTATTCTAATGACAAAAGTAAGCAGGTGTAAGCTTCAAGAAAGCTTTATTCAACTGAGAATACAAGGTTCGCGTATAGTGTCCTTTTATAGTCCTAGTCAACAGAAAGAGGAGAGTAACAAAACAAGGGGAGACCACTCTTGATTATTCGTAACAACTATTTTAATATTTTGTTAGCATTTCCTTTGTTCTATTTCTTTTACATTTTTTTTATCTTGGGTTAATTAATTTACTAGCTAACTTCGGGCCAAATTAAATTACTTTTCCTGTGGCGTTTTATCATATATTCACTAATAATTGTAATTTTTTTTAAACGTTTCACCCCAAGCAAGGCGGGAAGCCACAAGGACGCAAGGCGTTACAGAAAATTTGGAGCAAGATCAGATAGGAGTGATAGAAGAAAGGATGAGGAGAAGGATAATGGATAGATCAAGGCAACTGGAGATGTCGATTGACATTACATTTGAATAGCTGGGGATTATAGCTCTCAGGGAAACTGGAATAGGGAAGGGAGTTCCACAGGCGAGAGGTGCAAGACATGAAGCTATTGGAGTAGAAGAGACGGCTACATTTAGGAGTTTCGACAGTGAAGGGGTGAGAGCGGGATGCCACCCTCGTAGGTCGCTTGAACTCATGAAGTCTGGGAACCAGCGAATGCAGCTCCTCGGAGCAATTGCCATGAAATTATTTGTAAAACAGACAGAGAGGACAAAAGTTTGCAGGTGAAGGCTTCAAGAAAGCTTTATTCAACTGAGAATGCAAAGTTCGCATATAGTGTCCTTTTATAGCCCCAGTAAACAGAAATAGTTCTCTCAGAGAGGAGAGTCACAAAACAAGGGGAGACCAATCTTGATTATTCATAACAACTATTTTAATATTTTGTTAGCATTTCCTTTGTTCTATTTCTTTAAGTTTTTTTTTTGGGGGGGTACCATTATCTTCCGATCCCATCCGCATAAATTGCCTCTTATTCTCTAATCCTCTATATCGAGTGGTAAAAAAAATATCTCTGGCCATCATCTACGGTTTTTAGTAAAAACTGGCATTGATTATCAACGAAATCTGAGTAATGTTATTGATGATGCTGCGTAGATATCATTTGTAGGTTAGCTATGTTGCTAAAATTCGCTGGATTGAAGACACCTGTTGTGTCTTTAACAACTGAAAAGGAAGGGACAATAACATGATAAAAGCCAGGACATAAAACTGAAGGTGTAACTCTCATTCCGACCGGAAGCCGTCTACCAAGCAAACAGGGATGAATGGCTTCAATCCAAAAAAAAAAAAAAAAAACTTTCATTCCAACTTGATAAAAAAGCAAAAACACATTCTGATCTGAAGACGCTTTTCTAACGACATAAGGAATGCGAAACACATCTTACTTATTATAAAACGCAGATTGTGTGTGTGTGTGTGTCTGTACGTTTATATATTGGATCGGATTTCCTACATTTTTCAACAGATTTCAACAAAACTTCACAGGACTACGTAAAATTACCTTGCGGTGGTTCTGACAGCGCCAAAAATTGGAAAAACACAATTTTTTTTGCACGAAATCAATTTGAAAACACGATTAAAAGGGAATAATGTAAGGGGCAACTCATATCGAGTTATACTTATTTTAGAACCTAGGTTGGTTGGTGTGTGTGTGTGTGTGTGTGTGTGTGTGTGTGTGTGTGTGTGTGTGTGTGTGTGTGTGTTCGTTTATATATGGGATCGGATTTCCTTTTTTTTCAACCGATTTCAACAAAACTTCATTTTTTTTTTTGGCAGGTAGTGTTTCTTATTGTCTTGCACACTTTTTTTCTTTATTTTTACATTCAGAATGCTTTAAAAATTCCATTTACAAGACAATTGTTTATAATAAAATTCTATCCAATAGGTAGACTCATAACGATTGAAAACAATGTTTTTGTTTGAGTTTAGGTTTGACCAATTCGTAAAAAAAAAGAACAAAAAAAAAAAAAAACTAATTAAGACATGCGTGTCCGTCAATCTTAAACAATAATCTTTGTCAATTTTATTTTTCAGTCTTTATGATGGTCGATACTTGATCTATCTCTTACTGTTACATCCCCGGGCAAAGCCGCGCTCTACTGCTAGTTGTAAATAAAAAAGCTCTAACAAAAGCTTTCCATATATACATTGCTCTTCAACTGAATTAAGCTCTTCTGGCTACTGGCGTATTTCTTATAGAAAACATTAAAATTTCCCTTTCTCTTTGCCGTAGTCTAGGTGAAGGATCTCTGACTGATACCAGATAGGTCGGGTTTTGATACCGGCTCTAAGAAATCGGACGTCTAGCTACACTGAAGAGCTATGATGCAGCGAAACAGTCTGACTGCGGATGACAATATATGCTCCTGGATATCTGGTTGAGCTCTCTTGGGAAAAGTGTAGTTTTAAAAACAGTGGATCCTATTGGTATTAATGCACTGCTCTTCAGCTAAATTGAGTTGTCCGGGCCACTGGAGTATTTCGTATAGAAAACATTAACATTTCCTTTTCTCTTTGCTATGCGACGATAGCCCAGGGGTGGGATCTCTGACTGATGCCAAATCGGTCAGGTTCCAATCCGAGCTTGCAGCAATCTGACATCTAGCCACACTGAAGAGCTGTGATACAGCGAAACAGTTTGTATGTGGATGACAATATATATATATATATATATATATGTTAAGAAATGGACAAGGTCCGACAATTTATTTATTAAAGACATTTTTTATGTTTAACGTTGTTATTTCATAGATACA